GATGCGTGCTGACACCTGGCCCCGCCAGTGATTCTCCACACACCCCCTTCTGTTACTGGGGATCTCTCCACCCTTCTGTGAGTTTATTTAGCCAGCTCAGTGGGGACCGCAGGTGTGAAACACTAGCAGCTTCGGAGCAAAGGTCGACATCTTGTACTCCCAGGAGGCCGATGGCGTTGCCTGTGGAAATGAGCGCGCGGGGGCCCATCAGACCCCAGCAAGCAGGCAGGGTGGCCCCTGGCGCAGGAGCCTTTCTGACCCCATGGGGGTGATACCCATCCCTAGTCCTTTAGCCCCCAGCCCACGGGACCAGGAAGGTAGGTGTTAGCACTTGGAGGGGGAGGGTGGGAGGGGCTAGCCGGGCCCTCCCTGCAGGACCAATGGGCCAGGGCCAGGGCCAGGGTCAGTGCCAGGGCTAGGGTCAGGAACAGGGCCAGGGTCAAGGCCAGGGCCAGGGTCAAGGCCGGACGGTCTCACACGCTGGGGTCAAGGTCGGGTCAGGGCCAGAGTCAGGGCCAGGTGCCGCGGTGGATAGGCTCCACAGCTCACAGGATGCCCGGAGTGGTGGGGTCAGGACATCAGAATAGAGCCGAGGGTCTAGGTTCCTGGACGGCACGGCCTTCATTTAAGCAGGGCAGGCAGCTTGGTGCCTTTAGAAGTGTGCGTCAGCAGCCCAGCTCTGCGGCCATCTCGGAACCGGAGCACTCGGCAGCCCCTGGCCGGGAGGGCCGCCGGGGAGGGCAGGCCTCGGACCTGGCTGAGCGCCTCTGGGCCGAGCACCGCTCATGCGCCCGCGTGGGGCCCGGGGGTTCTGTTTTGGCTGACGGATTTTTATGTTAGTTGTTCTGCTCTTCCCATGTGATTTTCCGTTTCTGTTAAAGCGGGTCACGTGGCAGGTTTTCTTCAGGCCAGTGTGAGCTAACACGACTGATGGTTGTGTGACCACCCCTTGCACTTGGGAGGGGTTTGCAACGCTGTTCTGGGAGGCGGCGGAGCCAGTCACTCACTGACCCTGAGTGACACTCACGGAGCGACGTGTGGTGAAGTAGGTGACGATGGCCAGGAAAGCAGTTCTTATCTGAGCTTAGAACCCAAATGTAACACAGGAAATACTAATTTATTCTGTAACCTAACCGGATGCAAAGTTTAAGTGTTTTGACCACAGTGGCTGGCACACGCACCGCAGCCATCTGTGGGCGGCTTACGGTCTAACCTGGATCAGATACAGACCAGGAGAAAAACATTTCTTAGATCTGAGTATTTCGTTGTGTAGAACTGAATTATACACACTTTTTCTGTGCCCAGTTTTAAAGAATGTTTTCTGGTTTGCCCCGAAGAATCACCGCCACCGCCCCCACCCCTACCCGGCCGCTTCCCTGCAGGTTCTCGCAGGCACCCAAACCCTCTGGGAGCTGTGGCTCTCATCCATGCCAGGGAGGGAGGTGCAGGCCTGCTGGGCGGCAGGAGGCCTCACGGCTGCTGACCTGACTGCAGAGTGCAGGGAGGCTGCCCGCTGCCCCGCCGCCTGGTCCTGGCCGAGGGCTGGGTCACGGCCCCAGGCGGGAGGCGGGCCACCCCGGACCTGGCCGCGGAGCTTGGGCACACAGCGCCGGTCGCCCGTCCCTCTCACCCAGCATGTCTGCTGCTTTAATTACGGTGGGTGATCGCACCTGGAAGTGTTGGCCAACGTCAGTCATCCCCTTACGTGTGACCTTTGTTTCCGGTCTTCGTGGCTCCCATGCCACTCCCAGACTTAACGTACCCCATTGAAAGGGGGTGCCTAACTCAAGCGCCAGCAGAAGGCCATGTGGGGCGACAGGGTGCCGGCCACCTCTGCCTTCGCAACCGAGCCTTGCACTAAGCGTGTGAAGTGGCCGTTGGGACTGTCATGCACTCCGCACGCCGGGGCGGGAGAGGCCGCGTGCCCACAGCGGGCCCTGGCCCCTTGCCCCATGCCGCGGGCTCCCAGCAGCGGGCTGGGCGACTGCGCTGAGCGTTGGCCGGGCCCCCACACGGGCCAGGGAACGTGTCCCTTAGAGCGAGTCGCAGGGACACCGGAGCGACGTGCATGGCACGATGGAAGTGGAGAATCAGCGGACAGCTGCCCGTTACGTTCCTGCAGGGCCGTGGGCTGGAGTCCCCTGTGGACACAGGGTAGGTGGGTGGGCTCCCCACCCACCTCCTCAGGCTTCCTCTGAAGCCTGAGGGAGGTGGCCCCTGGCATTTCACAGGGAGCACGTGGGAAGAGTGACCAGTCCTGCACCTGTCCACCAGATGATGGCCGCACGTCCGGCTGTGTCCTTCTGGGATCGCGTAGCACCAAGCGGCAGAGCGGTGCCCGCCCCCACATCAGACCAGGGCTGCCGCAGTCACTCACGAGACGGGGTATCCGGGTAACTGTCACCATTGGCTTGAGCTAAATTTTCTTTCCTCCGTCCCCTGCCCTGGGGTTAAACTAAAGGATCAGCAGTCCCTCCCAAGGATCCGCCTGGTGGCAGGGCTCGGCAGGCCGGTCCTCCCGGCCTGCTTGGCCCCGGGTGACCTGTTTGCACGTGAAATTCCGAGGAACACTAATAGCCGGGGCTGAGAAGGGAGAGCAGATGCTCCAGTTGGGGCCCAGGAAGAGATGCAGGATGGAAAGAGGGAGATTCTGGGAAGCACTGAGAAGTCCTCGGAGCTCATAAACGAAGCCGATCCTCACGTTCGGGAATCCCAACCAACTTCAAACAAGACAAACAGCAAGACACCCGTCTCAGAGAAACCAAAGCAAAGCCGCACACCACCGAAGACCACAAGTGTGTTCAAGCAGTCAGAGGCCGAAAGGACGTCACGAAGGACGAGAGTGACGGACAAGCGGACCCTTCGGCAGCGCCGTGGGGGCCAGGAGACGGTGAGGCCGTAGGAGGGGGACTCATTGGCCTGAGACCCTGTCTCAAGGGGGCCTCCCGAAGGCCTAAAGACGGACACTTGCAGACAAGCAGCTGTGACCAGCAGGGTCCCCACAGACACCCTTCCGGAGGACACCGGTCCCAGGACGGCCGGAAAGGCTCCAGGAGCCGGAGCAGTGGCGATTCCGTTCCTGTCATGAGCACCAGCCCAAGCCGTAAAGAAGATGTCGATGATTTTGACTACACCAAAACTTAAACATTTAGGGAAATGAAAAAACTTTGCCCCGTAAAATCCGTATCAATGCTGTGTGATTTGTGAGATTAACAGAACAAAACTAAATGGACAAAAACTGCAAGGGCTGAGGGGGATCGGGGCATTCTCAGGTGTTGAGTTTAGGCTTGACACGAGCACGTGAAAATTTCAAAGGGACGGCTAATAAAAAAGCGTTCAGTTACATCAGTGCCACGAAGTGACGGGGGCAAGGCGGGTTAGGGACACGTGATCAACCACTACAAATGAAGAGCAGGGAAGGGAAAAACCCAGAAAGTCGGGACAAGTAGAGGCGCAAAGTGAGAGGTAGAGATTCCTCTGCATCCATGGGTCATTGCGACCGACGGCGAAGGAGATTTTCCAGGTAAAAGACAAAGGCCGCCAGACTTCAAAAAATCTAGCATTTTTTTCAGGAGACACGCCTAAAGAATAACCACTCCGAAAAACTGAAGACTAGAGGAAGCCGTTCTAGGCAAATACTAACCAAAAGAAGCCTGATTTACAAATATTGATTATCAGCGAGGGAAAAAACAAGACTTTAAGGCAAATTCTTTAGTCATTACATATTGATAAAAGGTTCAGTTCACTAGAAGATATAACAGTTCAAAATTTATGTGCACCTAAAACATAGCTTCGAATACATACAAAGAAAAACGCTGACGAACCATGAAGAGAGTTTGACAGCCATTGCAGTAGAACCTGAACACATCTCCCTTTCAGTGACGGTCAGATGCACAAGATCTAACACTGTAGCCCCTGAGACGGATTGATCGGCGGGTGCCGGACACGACACCCAGCACAGCTGTAGAACTCGTGAGAATACTTACAAAACCCGATGGCGTCCTAGACCGGAGAGAAGGCTCACCGTGTCTCAGAAAGTGGAAACACAGACTGTTCTCTTACCACAAAGCAGTGAGGTGGAGATCAACACTTAAGAGACACCTTTAAAAAACTTATCTTTGTCGGATGTCAAAGACCAAAATAAATGGAGAGACAAACCGTGTTCCTGGATAGGAACACTAAGTGTCTTATACTTACGGTAATTCTTCCCAAATTGAGGTGCACGTGAAATACAGTCGCAGTCAGAATCCTGACAGGCTGTTTTAAATTTCCATGTGAAAGTGCAAAGGCCCAGAGCCGTCAGCGCCCACGGAGAGGACTTGGGATCGGGAGATTCGTCCCGGCCGTGGGAAGGCGTACTCAGGCCGTGCTGCGACGGTGGGGAGTCGGGGGCACGGAGAGCCCGGGGTCGGACCCACGTGGGCGAGGGAGCCTGGTCCGTGACAGAGATGCCGGGATGGTGGGTCGTCCTCACAGGAAAACTGATCTGCACAGCACAAACGGACGACCAGAGAAAACCTGGCACTGCTGGGGGAGATTATAGTAGAATATTGTTCTGCACACAGGTCAGGGGAGGGGTTCTTAAAACGTGAGCAGAAACCATAAAGACGATGCTAGTTTGACTACATTAAAATTTAAAATTTTTTTCTCTGAAGATACCATAAGGAGAGTGGGGAAAAGGTCTTTTCAAGCAGATAGAACTGGAATAGGATTAGTATCTGAAATGCATAAGGAGTTCCTGCGAATCAGCAAAAACCAAACTAAGAGAAAAACGGGCCAAAGACACAAGCGTTTTACAGAAAGGAGAGGCGGATGCACATGAGACCCCTGAGGGGCTCCATTTCCTGCCTGGAGAAGTGGCTGCCTGGCAGGTCGGCTTTGTGACAACTCATTGGATACTTATGGTTTTAGCAACTGTCTGCATTTAACATTTGTCTGTGTTTTTATATTCCGACACGTTAGGAAAAATAGGCCAGTTGCAGAGATGTTATCATGTGAACCTTTGCTGGAGCTCCCTCCCTC